TGATTTAAATAATCAAATTTGGCATAAAATAGAGGTTTTAGGGGTCTAAGTTACGAAAAATACGAGTTTGGTGGGATTCCTGACGTCAAAATACCTTAAAATGATGAAAAAGTCCGAAAATGACAAAAATCTGGAGTGTAGCCTTGCTCCTGCGAGGGTCCGAAGGGCTGAGGGAAGTTCTGGAGTCACTCTTCAAGGTTCCAGAGTCAGGTTCACATTTCCGGAGCATTTTCTCGCATTTCTGAAGTCGTATGCGCAGTCCGGAGGTCCGGACCGGAGGCGCGAAGAGGGCTCACCAATTCCGAAGCGGTGCAAGGTGAGGCGATGTCTTCCGGAGCGAGGTTCCGAATCTAGGGGAGTTCCGAGATTGCGAGTCCTTTTGGTTCCTTAGAAGGCATTCCGGACTAAGAGGGTTCCGGACCAGGAGGGTTTCGGACCAAGAGGGTCCTTTTGGGTTTTCTCCTCCGGTTTTGGGCTGTTTTCGACTGAGGAAGGTACGTAGAGAGATTTAGGAGAGATTCCACATACTTGGAGAGATTTGGGAGAGATTTCATATTCTTGGAGAGATTTGGGAGAGATTTGACATACTTGGAGAGATTTCACATACTTGGAGAGATTTGGGAGAGATTTCACATACTTGGAGAGATTTGGGAGAGATTTCACACACTTGGAGAGATTTGAGAGAGACTTGAGTTACATGGAGAGATTTGCACTCTATCTTTCCATGGTCCATTAGGAAACATAAAGTACAATTTTAATGTGTTAGCACAAGTCTCATAATAGTTATTGCTTTCATGAGGACGGAATTTCCTAGCCAAAATGCTAGTTGTGACAGACGCACATTTATGACACGCATTGTGTATCATTAAAGCCCATGTCATAAATGAATATGACACGCATTTGCGTGTCATAAAATTCAACATCCATTTACAATACATATTTACGACGTGCATTTACGATACGCATTTACAACGTGCATTTACACATAATACATAAAAAAATATATACCAAACATTCAATTTCATCTAAATGTTAAACAAGTTATCAAAAAAATTGTATGTACATTACATGTCAAAATAGGATGCTACATAATATTTCACACAGTTAACAAAAAAATTGTACACCACATGTCAAAAGACAGATGCTACCTAACATTTCAATGTTATATTATTTGTGGATACAAAATATCACCAGTAAATGAAGTCTGTAAAAAAAATTCAATCATTCTTCACGGATTTCGTCAATATCATCACCTGTGTATTGAACTTTGTCACCCCAACCTGAGAAAAAAATTGCATATAATGTTTCAGTTATAAAAAATTGATCATTTCTTTAACAGTGAGTAGTATGCTATATTCATTAAATAAACAAAAAATGCAAATTCTCCTTTCTTATTAGAGCATTGCACTTTCAAATAAATGAAAGTACATTGCTATTTCTTACATATAACCTATAGTATAACAGTGTGTAGGATGCTATACTTACATTGTCATGGACCAACACTTCAATTCCTTCATCAATTATCTCCTTCATTGCAAAGAATTAGCCACCAGTAATATTTCAAGCAAATATGGGTTTCAGGGCATGATCAATTATGTTTGTGATAGTTTGAATGAATTTATATGAAAATGATTCAGTAGTTACGTTCCTAGAGTGTATATGTATAAATCATCAAGTTATGTTTACCTGAATAATTGGAATACAAAGGACGTCACCTCGCAAAGCCATGATAAGAGAACTAACAACCATCGTTTCTACTAAAACCTCAGTAGCATCCCAAATGCAGTTAGAGTCGCACCACAATTAATTATCTTGGGTTGTAATGCTCCTGAAAAAGATCAAGTAAAGTTTGTAAAATAGTTCATATAAAGTACTTAAAAGGGTAAAAATAGAATTAATTTATTTATAAACTTGGGAGTTGGGATTTTTTAATTAAATAAAATTTATAGGTTTAATACACACAAAGTGTGTTCAAGCCCATAAACAATATGCGCCCATCTAAAAATTCCATACAATCTCTAAAAAATCTCAAAATTAGGTGTCCATGGACACATGTTTTGGATATGTAAATCAGCCCCTAGTTGACCAGTATTTTTTAAAATATGTTTAATATGAGTTTAAATCCCAGATTCTTTAGTGTGTGTGGATTGTGGAAAATGACATGGTATAAAATCGCGTCATGGCCTTATAATTCAAGAGGTTACTCATAGCTATAATGGGTAAAAAATATAAAGTAAAACGCCCTAAAAAGTATTTTGAAAATACAAAGCATAATGCTATAAGGAAATAAATGAAAACTAAAATGCAATTTCTTGCAAAATCTCATTTGCACTTTTATAATATGCTAACAAATGCCTGAGCCTGAGTAGAGTAATTTTAGGTGTAGAGTGTGGTGTAGCAAGTTTTGAAGAGTACCTTTTTGACGAGAACGCCCGTGCATTGTCGTTTTCCCCTAAAGATGAACATGAAGCACAAACTGAGTTTGCTCTTGTCAGAGGCTGCAATTTCTGCTGTCATGAGTTTATATTAAGTTTTGAAGGGTACCTTGAGACATACAATCTCCTCCATCAGACCATCTCTTCTCCATGCTAAAAAAGAGATAATTCCAGTGCACACAAAAGCTACATGAGTTTGTATTAAGATCATCAATTATAATGTTATATAACTTTTATCACCTGCATGCAAGTGTAAAATCGCACCTGTGATTGTAGAAGTTGATAGAATTATAAGGCAAGGAGGGAAACTGATTGTTGGTGATGAATCCAGTACAATAGGGGAAGTTGAAAACCTGTTGAAGCCACTACATTGCAAATACGACACCGGAGCCACAATATCTATTGTTGAGTATTTTCTGATGAAATACGACATTAATCTTCAGTTTCCACACCTTCCAGCAATCCAAGCTGGCACAAATGCTAAACCGATGTACAATGAATAATGAGTAATCAATATGACTAAAAAAATGTTGGGCCATATAGGATTAGTATTATTATTATGTTTCACTTTGCATTTTTTTGACTTCCCGAATAACTAGGTTATTGAAACCATCCACAGTCGATCATACTTTGGAAGTAAGTATTGAGGCAAGACTGTCGTGAATGGGTCTGTAGTTTTTCTAAGTGTTTTAGACATAGCTTCAATGTTCATGAGTACTCCTGGTATAGGATTCGAGTATTGGATTCAACCCACACTCATTTGTATCACTTCATGGATTTTATCACGAGTGATCATGAGACGATAATATCTTATATTCTTGAAACCAAAACATGTGAGTTGTAATTTGCAAGTCAGTTGCACATTGACATATGTAAACACACCAGTAACTTGGTGTTATAAAACATATCGTTGTGTGTGATTTGATGAGTAAGTACAAGCAAGCATTTGAGTCGAATTTTATCCATTCCTTTTACCCTTGGAGGGATAAAAGCGATATTTGTTGGGCCCCTCGATGATTTAGTGATGACAACCCTAAGCGCTCGGCCGAGCCTGGACTGATTTGATTTGTTCAATTAGTCGGTCGTCATAAATCAGAAATCGGGAAACAACAGATGGACAGAAAGAATGATCATAATCGATGTCTCAGTTCATATGATATCTAGTAGAATGGAGGAATATATGATCCCTTATCTAATGGACGCGTCATTGACTAGATCAGAGTTCGACAGCGGCTTTTAAGAGCTACGATTGCTAGTCGGGTTGTGGATTCGTACTTGCAATAATAGTTATTAGACTTATCCAAGTGGGAGAGTGTTTGATTAGTGTCTAATTCCATAACTATAATTTGTATGTACTTGACCCGAGAGTAGCATGGTCCATTTGGGTTGCATATCACCAGGGCAATTTGATAGGATGAACTTTTGAGAAGAGTTTATTTATGATTTATTAATATATTATAAGTTCTAATATATTAATATGAAATCATATTATTTGATTAGTATTGATCAAGATTTAATTTGGAATTAATTTAGTGATCAAAAGAGACTAATTAAATATATGGGGATTGATTGTGTAAATCATTCATTCTTATAAAGTGGGCTTATGATCCATAGTTCTTTATGTTGGGCTAAACCCATGTGGTGGCCCATGGATACTCCATGGAGGTTAAAACCCAGGGAGCCTAAGGAATGTGGAAAGTCATGCACATTTGGTTTTGCATGGTGTAACCCTAGTTGTGCCACACTATATAAGAAGCCCCTTGGTTGGTGAAATGGACACTAGTGATCTTTGGAAGAGTCATAGAGCCGATTTCTAGAGCAAGCCATTCTCTCTCAAGTTATCCTTTGTCCTAGGTGTTTTGTGATTCCATTTGAGGCATTTACACTATTGGTGCTAAGTTCTTAAAGTCCAAATACATCAAGGATAGCAAGCTACAACAAAAGGTATGTCATCTAACTAGAATTTTGTAGTAAAGATACTTCATTGTATGCTAGGTAGGATGATGCTTTGGAAAATCAAAGTTTGCATGTATATTAGAGAAAACATAGATCCAAAGCATCTAGGGTTGCATGTACACCATAGGAGTATTAGAATGCTCAAAACCCAACAACATGTTGTATCAACGAGTGTCAGATGCTCTATCAGTGGTGCCTTCATCGTCTAGGATGATCAAGCCACCGCCCATGAACGTATATGGAACAATAGGGAACAAGTATGCTATTCGGGCGAATCACTTCCAGGTTGGTCTCGGTGAAAAGTCCCCACCAGTATGATGTACGTATGATCTTTCTCTACAGATTACTTTCATATTACTTCTCATCACATATATGGTATATGGTATATGTTTTTTACTATATCCACACGTCATTAGTTTTTATGGAGATAGGTATATTGATAAGCATTTGCAAAGAACTATTTATATGTATTCATGTCTGGATTTGTATTCTATATGATTGCAATGTTGGTTGTAGGTAACAATCAATCCATAAGTAATCTCAAAGAGGAAAAGTAGAGACATCTTGAAACTTGTTAGGAGTTCATATGGAGCATCACACCTCGGACACATGTTGTTAGCTTATGATGGAAACAAAACCGTGTTTTCAGCAGGGCCATTACCATTTGAATCCCAAGAATTTTCTGTTAAACTCACCCAACAAAATGGGTATAAGTATTACTTACTTTTCAATATCAGGTTTTTTAAATACTTCCTTTCAAATTGTAACTTGTTTTATATACATATATTGTAGGTGGGAAAAGGAATTCAAAATCAACATCAAATTTGCAGGTGGAAAGGATATGAACCATCTGAAACAGTTCTTAAATGGTGGACACCATGATAATCCCATGAAACTATCCAAGCTCTTGATGTTTTTCTAAGGGATTGTTTACAAGGGTATCAATTAAGTGTCATAATATATCTTTTCTCATCAAGCTCTCAATAGGATTCTAACTATTTTTACATGAATTGTTTGTATGAGGAAAACACTTGGTAGATCATTGTTTAGTCCTGAATTTGGGACAGGTGTTCTTGGTGATGATGTTGAGTTTTGTAAAGGGTTTTATCAAACTCTAAGACCAACTCAAATGGGCTTTGTCACTTAACCTTGGTATGTATTTGTATTTCTATATATTTTGATTGTATATGTGTATATATTTTCATCATCAACCATTATACTCTAATATAAATCTTAAAGATATGTCAACTTGTGCTTTTTATGAACCTACGTTAGTTACTAAGTTTGTTGGTGAATTTCTACATAAGGAGATATCGAGACCACTATCGGACCAAGATCGTATCAAGGTAGGAATTAGGAAAGGTTTTTTTTTTTACCATTTTATCAATCTTAAAAAGTTGTTTTTTTAATGATAATTTATTATTTCCCTTTCAGGTAAAGAGAGCACTGAGAGGTGTAAGAGTGGAAGTTAGGAGACATGATTACATGAGACATTACAAGGTTCATTCGTTAACACTTCAACCAACTAAACAACTCACATAAGCTTCAGTTCAAATAAACATTTTCTTAAAGTGTTTGTGTTTTTTAACTTTTTTTTTGTTAAATCTTGTTAGATTTATTGTTCACGACACCGGAGCCACAATATCTATTGTTGAGTATTTTCTGATGAAATACGACATTAATCTTCAGTTTCCACACCTTCCAGCAATCCAAGCTGGCACAAATGCTAAACCGATGTATTTACCAATGACGGTCTGTTTTATAATTTATGAGAGACCATGATTCTTCCGCTTAAGAAATTGATTTCTACTGTGGATAAATCAATTTCTTGAATGGAAAATCAACTTCTTTTTGTATGGGATTAATTAAAAAAATTGTAAATTCAAATGTAATTTTGTTTGAGTACAGATTTGTAGCATTGTGAGTGGTGTATGATATGCTGAAAAGTTGAACAGAAAACAAGTAATCAACTCTCTCAAGCCCACGTGTCAGAGCCCAATAGATAGGGAGAAAAGCATCCATAAGGTAGCTATACATTCCAACCATAGATTGAAATCCATTTATTTATTTATTATTGGTGCATATGTTTTAATTTGTAGACCGTGGAGAGTGATAATCTAACAATTTTTAACTACTTCTGGAAGATTTTCAATCCCCGCTCTCTAATTCTCATGCATACTCAACCAAACAATATTGAAGAGAAGTTGGATTTATAAGGAAGCTACAGGTATGCAAAAAAACCGAATTAGCCATCATGACATCTTGCTTTTTTGATAAATAGGTATGCAAAAAACCAAAAATCTGGCATCTTGTTTCTTTGTTCGTTTGTTTCTCTTGGTGAGGTGTTTTGGCTCTGATACCATAAGGCACAGAGAAGGCCCAGGGGTACCATATAGTTATGCCAAAATACAGTCATAGGATTATTTAACACTTATTTTCCAAATGAATTTTCACATGTTCAAAAGGAATAATAGAAATAATGTTAAAAATCAAATAAATGAAGAATATGAAATACCAAAACAATTAGATTTGTTAAACAAATGGACAATTCCTAGAATACAACCAAAAGCTTTATATGAGCTAGGTACTTTTGAAGAATTAGGTTTTATACAATCAGTTAAAACAACTGAAGAAAATTTAACAATGAATCAAGATGATATGGTTGTAAAATTATTAACATATGAAGATATTCATAGATATCAATATACTCATAATTATCTTCATATAGGATTAGTGCAAATTGCTTTTAAACCTTTAACTTTACAAGGTTTACCAGAAAGTTTTTTAGCTGTATTACGTGATGGTCGTAATATGAATTGGAAACAATCTTTAATGGGAATAATACAGTCCAGTCTGACCAATGGTCCAGTATATTTTAATGTTTATCCTAATTTACAGTTATCATTATCTGATGTTAATATATTAGATGCTTTAACTTTAAATGTTAAAACAAATGGATACAATTATATGCCAGGATCTGAATTAATATGTATATGCTATAGAATATACTACAGGCCTTTAAAAACAATGAACCCTAGGTGTAAAAAAAACTAACAAACCTAATAATGAAACTATTTTAATAGAAAATAATTTTGATATGTCTAAAATAACCACTAGAAAAGCTATTAAGTGGGATGAAATAGATTTTCCAAAAAATTGGGTCTTGGAGGGAGCGGTTCCTCCTCAACCAAAAATAAATAATAAGATTACAGAAATTATACAAACATCGGAAGGAAGAATTCAAATAGAATTCGATAATGATGATGGAGAAATACCTCTATTAAGAAGATGTAGATCAACTAGATCACTATATTCTCATATATCACCTTTAGAATATAAGGTAGAAACTCCTTCCCGATGTTCTACGTCTCAATTAGACAAGAAAATAAATCAATTAAATATAAAAGAAAATATAGTCCAAGGTGTCTATGAAGAGGATCCTACTGCCTCAGAAATGAATTTTCCAATTTAATGGATAGAGAAGAAATAATAAATTTTAGTCCGGGATCACCGGCAAGATCAATAATTTATAATGAATTTAATACAGAAAAATGGAAGCCTTTTAAAACTTGGTTATTCCAAGAATTTTCAAAAGAAGAATTAACAATTATACAAGATGAGTTTTATTCTTATTTATCAAAAATTAACAAAATTATATATTTTGTTCCATGGTTTTTTCATAAGTATATAATTAATTATTTAAACATGATAGAAAGAGAATATACTCTTACAAATGGAAATATACAAAAATCGATTTTTCCACCACAACAAAGTTTTCAAATTTCCAGGGAAAATATAAGTTTAAAGTTCTCGGCTTATAAAAAATTAGTTGAAAGTAATACTTTACAGGTAACCGTAGAACATATTAACCAATTAATACAACAAAATAATTTTACAAATTTATATTCTATAATTCTTGGAGAAAAAATTCTTTCTATAGAAGAAAAGGTAGAAAGCATATATAAAATTATCGAACAATCTCAAATGGAGAAAACAAAGCCGAATAAAGAAAAAATAATAGCAACTTTCCAACCTCCTCCGGAAATAAAAGATTTTAAATTTAAAAATGAAACAAAACTACATCAAATTTTAGAAAAATTAAAAAAACCTGAAAATTTAAGTGTAAATACTTTAAACAGAATTAAAGAATCAGATTATAATTCCATGGATCATCATTATCCTTAAAATATAGCATGATATCCTTTTCCTCCAAAAGAATTATTAAATCAGATTATAATTCCGGGTCTGAATCCGAACAAGATAAACGGATTAATAAAATAAAATATGAAAGTTATGATGGTAAATTTGCTAGAAAACCCGTCCAATCTAAATATTATTATAATAGACCTACTCCTCAAGATGTTTTATTTGAAGAACAAGAGTTTATTCAAGATAACAGTTACAATGGTAAGAACGTCTATGAATGGAATTTAGATGGTTTTACAGAGAGACAAATATATTTGTTAACTCAAAGAATGACTTTATATGCTACTAGTGCAAAACAATTAGGAAATACTGATTTAACAGTTGCTCAAATGATAATAGCAGGTTTTACTGGCCAATTAAAAGGCTGGTGAGATAATTATTTACACGAATCAGATAAGATTCAAATTTATAATGCTACCAAAATAGTTACTAATCAAATTAAAAATGAAGATGGCACTTCAACTTCTGCACAAACAATAGTTCAAGATGTAGTTTATACACTCCTTTGAAGTATAATTGAACATTTTTCGGGTAAATGGTCAAATAATTCTGGTAATACTAGAACTTTACTAAATGGTATGAAATGTAAAACCTTAACTTCATTTAGATGGTATAAATATACTTTTATGAGCAGAGTATTAGAATTAGATGATTGTAATTCTAGTTATTGGAAACAAAAATTTATTGATAGTCTTCCAAACCTTTTTGCTGAAAGGGTTAGGAAACAACTACAGGGAAATCATCCTCAAATTCCTTATGAAAATTATTCATATGGAAAACTTATCGGAATATGTACACAAGAAGGTCTAGCCTTGTGTAATGAAATAAAATTGAATCAACATATAAAAAAACAACGCCTCACTGAGAGACAACAATTAGGCCATTTTTGTGAACAATTTGGTATTGATACTTTAAAAAATAAAAAGAGATCAAAAAGGGAATATATCCCTAAAAAATTTTAAAAATATAGTGAAAACCAAAAACAATATAGATCTAAAAGAAAGTCTTTTAGAAAAGAAAAACATAATAAAAAGAAGAAAGATAATCCACCAACTTGTTATAAATGTGGTCGAATTGGTCATTTTGCCAATAAATGTAAAATAAAGAAAAAGATTAATAACTTAAATCTAGATGATAATATGAAAGAGAAATTAAAAGAAATTCTTTTAAATAACTCGGAAGAATCCTCATCTGATGATGAAATAAATAATATAAAATCTGACGAAGAAATTTATACATCAAGTAGTTCTAATGAAGAAGAAGAAAATAATTGCTTTTGTATAGATAAAAATAATTGCTCATGTGATGATGAAATATATAATATTCAATCACAATTTCAGGATAATTTACAAATAAACGTTTTAGATAAAGATATTTTATCTATTTTAAAAAATATAGATGATTCCGAATTAAGATCACAAATCATTGATCAAATAATAAATAATCAAAGAAATACTCAGGTTAATGAACCAATTTATTCTATGAAAGAGATAGATCAAAGATTAAAAATGAAAAATAATATTTCATTAAATACTACCATCATGGATTACACACAAGAAATCAATAATTTAAAAAATGAAATTATTTTTCTAAAAAACAATCATAATAAGTTAGAAAATAGAGTCATTACTCTTGAAAAAGAATCCCATAATAATAAAACATCAACTTCAAATAATGAGTCGAATGAATTCTTAAGTGCTATGGAATTAGTTACAT